AGCTGACTTAGTCTAAAGTTCAAACAGGAGTTCCTGAATCCCACTCATTATCTGTGAAATCTAGCTCAGCGGGAAAGGTCACACGTGTGGACTAGGTCTGGGTATTGCACTACACAAAATTATATTTTTTAAAAAGACACAAGCAGAACTTTCATGAAAACTGCTCCCCTTTCTAACAAACCTATAGGAAGATGGTGCACTGAGGTCATGTGGTGTTTAAAGTGCATAGCCCACAGCACTGGAGAGCGGCCCTTATTATGAATAGAAGAGATGGACAATAGCCAAGTGATCAGCAGTAGCTCAACAATCAAGGTGATTTGTTACCTCTTTCCTAGCCTTTCAGTACTCCTTTGTACTTTCTTCAGCTTCCTTAATATCCCACGTTTTCTTTGCTAACCTCTTCCTTTGAATACTTTCTTGCACTTCCTCATTCCTCCACTAAATCTCCTTGTCCTCATTCTTCTGTCCAGAGGATGTATGAAACAGACTTCCCCGACCTGTTTAGTTTCTGATAACTCTTCCCTACCACCCAGAGTCTGTCTCAACTCCTCCCTGAACTCTGTGAAACATTCTTCTTTCTTTGACTTCCACCATTTCATCCTTGATTCTACTTTCTTCCTCTTGGTGATGTCCAAAGTCATCCTAAAGTCTACCATCTGATGTTGCATACCTACATTCTCCCCTGACACCACCTTGCAGTCTCCTAACTCTTGCAGCTGTAATTTACCTTCGTGCACCACCCTCTGTTCATCCCTCTTCTGTAAGTGTCCACCACAGTCATTTCCACAATATTTACAAAATCCAATACCATCTGTCTGCATCTCTCTTATTAACACTATACCTTCCAAACACCTCCTCAGACCTCTATTCATTTAACTACATTAACTGGGTTACATTGTAACTACTTCATTTTAACAAGTTCATTGGAATCTGCTCCAATTACCACTCTCTCTGCCCTTGGGACTCTCTCGACTACTCTCTACCACTTCATTCATTCAACCTTAGTCTTTAGCCAACAGTAGGACAGTTTCCACCAGCACATTGTTGGCCGACAGCACCGGAGGTGGTCATTATTAATCTGGGCCTGAACTGATAATAACACTATGTTAAGGAAAGATATAGTGCCAAAATGTCACAGGCAAAGTGAATAACATCGATTGTTGTATTAAAATGCGATGATATCTGAAGTAGGGGTGTGCAGACTAGAGATGGACCGATCCGATATTA